GTAATGTGGTATTATTGAAGAAAAAGCCTGCATTTCCTGTTAAATCTACACCAAGGATCTGGTTTACTCATACTCAGAATTCTTCAGTTTGTTTAACAAATAACGTCTTTTTAATCCAAGCAAAGGTGGGTGGCAAGATAGACTTTCAAGTTAAAAGAAAAATTCTAGCTGCAGACCAGTCTGGATGTCAGGTGAAAATTTATGTTACTTATGTTTGTTTCAGATGCGAGAATAGACATCAGGAATAACGAGAACAAGTTGGCTGTGGACATGGCCACGAATGCCCAGTGTGCGTCGCTTATCAAAAGGAGGCAGGGAGGCCGTAAGTAAAGCTGCCGTTACGGAGCAGCCACACAGCATAACCCACACACACTCACACAATCTCATATTCACACAGTCCCAGAAACTCTCTCTGCTCAGTCAGTGTAAGTTCAGCACGTACCACAAGAGTCACTTGTTGTAGTTACTGAGCTGATCACAGGAAAACTGAACTACAGTCAAGTAAAAAAAAAAAAAGTACACCCTCTTGTAATGACAATAATAATAATGGGTGAAAGCAGCACATAACATATTACATCATGCCACCATTTATTTAACAAAAATGAAGCCAAAGTTTATGTGAAATACTGTAAAAATTAGGTACATCTTTACTGCTTCTATGGGAATTAGAAGATTCATTGGCAGCCGTGAATGCACTCGATTGAGAATCAGCAAATGTAACCAATCAAGCAAATTATAAAAGCAGAACATGCGCATGCACGCATGCATGCGCATATATAAAAAAAAAAATAATTATTTTATTTTTTTCCCCCCCCATTCGTCAGTTGAGGAAAGACATGAAGTGTACAGAGATGATGCAGTTACACATAATATGTAAAAATACTGGAGTATGTTTGTCATTAACTATCCGTTTCCTGTGTTGCAGAAACCACCCGCACACACAGCAATGCTGAAGAGTATTTGGACGATGAGGACTCAGACTGAGCTGGCCCCATTAAACCATTGCCTCTGTCTTCCATTGGGTTTGGGGGTCGTGATCCTTGCAGAGTTTTATTACAGGACCTAAAGTGGAATTGCTGTGTAACTGTAACTTCATTTTAGTTCAGTTATTTTGTTCAAACACCTCACTCCTCTGCCCTCAGCCTCACTTCAGTGTGAGTCTCAGAGCTTTGAATTAGTGTGTTTTACAGTTGGCCTGCTTTTTCTACCCCGAGTGGATTTCCACACGTGGGGGATTTGTCTTGGAGGATCGATTGTGCACTGTGGGCTGAAGGGCAGAGTATATGCAGTAGTGGAAAAGGGACCAAAACTCTTAGAAACACATTCCAAACATACAGCTTATGTTTAACCTATTAAAGTGCCAATGCAGATTAAACATTGATCTGGTGTGTTTCTACTTAAGTTTTTCAAGCTCCACTTAAATTGCTGAACTACAAACATGACCAGAAGGAATTGGAAACACATTATCACAACTACAAACCTTTATGTACATTAGGAAGACTATTAAACATGTATTTAGCTCCAACGTTTCCCCCCCTAATAGATTTCCCCACGTATATTCTCAACACTTAAATTATGCATGCAACCGATGTGCATAAATGGGCTTAATGTGGCGGAGTATGTGTAAGCATCTCATCTAGCAGTAAACTCACTTGTTGAACTCTATACTGCTTGTGTTTTTATAACATTTCCACCACCGTTAAGAGCCTGCTTTCAGCTCACTGTAATTAAAAATAATATTCCTCATGTAAACTAAACATTACTCTGAACTCTTTCAAGCTTTTGATTTCCATCTTGTGAGCATATTTCTGGTTTTATTGCTGCTTTCCAACAGATTGAGGGGGAAAAAGTGCCTTAAATGTAAATTCGTGCGAGTGTTTGCGGTTGTTTTTCTCTTCTTCAGTGTGAACATGTTTGTCTTCAGAGATTATGAATTTCGTAAGAGGACTGTTCAGGATTTCTGTCTGCTCTTTCTTCAATCTCAAATAAAGATTTTTTTTTTTTAACTTATAATGTACACTGAATGTATATTTTTGAAAGCAAATAGAGAAATGTGTCTTGACAGAAGCAGTGCAGTGGGATTATACACTTACTGACCACTTTATTGGGTACACGTGTTCAGCTTTAACACAGATATCAAATCCTTCAATCACATGGCAGCAACTCTATGCATGTAGACATGGTCTGCATTCACACTGAGTATCACAATGGGGAAGAAACTTTGAATGTGGCTCAATCATGCAGTTTGGAAAAGTGTGGGGGATAATTTATTGGCCTATCACCAACTGAGCATCATTTAAACACTACAGCCTGCCTAAGTATTATTATTAATAAATTGTTGAACCTGTCTTCTGATGGTTGCTCAACACAGTATGTAGTGGAACGGGAGATTCCCGTTATGGATCTGCAGCGCCAGCTGTACGATATCATCATCTGAAAATGGACCAAAATCTCTGAGGGATCTTTCTGGCAACTTATGAATCACATGACGAATTAGGGCAACTCTGAAGGCAAAAGGGTGTCCAACTATGTACTAGCAAGGCACACTCAAAGTGGGCAGTAAGTGTAATTAACTACTCATAGCCTCTCATCCAAACAAATTCCTCTCATTACTAAATGCACATGTGAAAACATGTAATAAGGTTATAAACTCGAATAATTATAATAATCCAATAAAGAACATGTTCCAAAAAATTTCCTCAGACCAACAAAAATAAATTCATAAAAGTTAAAGATTTCCTTTATTACAAAGTCGGCATGTTGATGACATTCCACAAAGGCAAAAAAATACAAGAACCCAAAAATACAGCAAGTCTTTGATGAGGGATTCATGCTACATGACTGCAGGACCAGAGAAACTAAGAGGACAGGTAGAGCAGAACCAGGACATCGTGTTCTTCCTCAGTTTCCTCCTGATATACTGACATAGTAAGAACTTTGTTTTTCTACATCCATTCAATGCCAGATGCAAAAATAAATAAATAAACCAAACAGTTACTGAACATGTTTCCTATACAGCAGAAGAAAGGGAAGCAGCTGCTTTTATTTAATCAAGAGCTTTGAATGAGTTGGTTCTTTTTTGTATTCTTTTAGGACTTGATTATTCTTTGCTGGGACAACGTTTTTGCTTTTTTAAAGAAATGTTGTCCTTTTCCTTATATAAAATTATGAAACTAATTTATCTTCATTCAGCAGACAAGGAAGAGAAGATGAAAACTAGATTTTACCTAATATTTAATAAAATATTTCTGCAGCTGAGTGGTAAAAGAATGTAGTCTCTTTGAAAAAAATCTACCCAGCAGGATGTTTAGTAACACCGAGCAGCAAACAGCATGTAAATGGTGTCTCAGCAGGACTGCGTTTCACTCCTAGAACTATCAATATAAAGATGCATGCCTTGACTTCACAGTAAAAAACTGGTAATAAATACACGGCTCACTGTCAGGTAGCAAAAGATACAAATGATGCTATCTGTGGATTCCACATTATCTGTGGAAGCCATTAAAGAAGCTCTGATTGACCTCCAGAGATACAAAGGTTCTTCATAGTGAACCACACACAGAGGCATACATATATGTATATATTTATAAATTAATTACACAGGTTCACACAGTCAAATAAAAAAACCCAAATCATGTCCACTCTTTTCAAGAAGCTCTAGAAATTCTGCAGGATTTAAAGTAGCAGTACTTGTAAGACTTACTAAAACACACTTTTCGTCTCTTTTTAAAGCAAGGGTGTCAAACTTATGGTCCACAGGCCAGAACCAGCCTGCCAAAGGATCCAATCAGGCTCGTTGCGTGACTTTTCCAAGTGTGAAATTTGCAAAGAAGACATTAATTTTAGGTTTTCATTTTCTTTTGCACCGGTAAGCAAAATGTTCTGAATAAACGATGATGAAAGTGTTATTGTCCATCTGAATCATCATTAGTCTGAATGTGGAAAAACAACCGTTTTTCTTAAAGATGTTTCAGTTTGCGCATCATCAGTTTTATAAATAGATCATTAGCAATAACCTGAATGTACTGAAACTGCTCTTCACAAAAAGAAAGGGGAACAATTAGTCAGAAGCTTCAGCGATGCAGGCGGCCCACTTGAGCTGTAAGTCACTTATGAGCAAAGATGAGTCTGAAACCCTTGTTCTGAAAATGCAAAAACCACATTTCCTCATTTTCCGTGACGTTTCTGTCAGACTGCGGTTCAGGCCGTTACAGGCGACCAGTTGAGCCCATTGGTTACATAAATGGTCTACATTGTCGACTCTACAACACATAAAGCACCCTGTGTGAAGGGGAAACTAAATGGTAAATGGCCTGTATTTACTAGGTTTTTAAACTTTTTTTTTTTTTTTTTTTCAAAAACACAGATTCGAGACCTATTTTTTTACTTTTAGAGGCATCTGTGGGAAGAACTTGTTGCTGTGTAAACATACCCAGTGGAGCATTTTACAAACTAATCTAATCTTTCAGTTGTTAAAAAAGGACACTTTTTTCTGCTAATATGGTGCTACTTTAATTTCAGTGTTGTCAAATCCACAACCTTCATATTTTCATATAAAAAAAACCAGCAAATTACAGCCAGAAGCTTCCCCTAATTCCTGTCAATTATTTCCAACCAAGTAAAGGATGGAGATGCCGCCCTTTCAAACAAGGCACATTTGAGTGTGAAACTTGAATAAGGCCTTGAATAAGGCCTTTTTAAACACAAGCTGTGGTTATCATTAAGCTTTAAGGGGAACTGAAAGAAAGTGAAAATGATCCCGCCTAATTGTCAACGCCACCTAAATTAGAAATACAGACATAAAAAGGAAGACTTGCACTTTGCCATCTCCTGCCTCCAAAGAAATAAATATTAAGAAAAGCAGACATTTAGGCTGAAACTATGCTTTTTTTTTTTTTTATGATAATGCAATGAGTTTAAAATCTGACCATGTCCCCCCCAAAAAAGGAAAAAAAAGTCAGAGAGAGCAGAGATGACAGTGATGATATATTGCACCAGTGTTTGCAAATTACTCAGAAGAAACACTTCTTTTTAATGAAGATCACATAGTTAATGCAGTAATCTTGACAAGAATTTATGTTCACAGAAAAAGTTCTGTAAAAGACTTCATCAAAGAAGAATCTCAGGACAGACGAGGTTTTCCAAAACACAAAATAAACATTTCCAGCTGTTCAGCAGACTCAGTGTGGCCTCAATCAAACACCTTAAGAGGAACCCTTTCTCCAAACGCCTCTTATAAAGGATATTATTGTTAGATATGAGTAAACCACAAGAGTCAAACAGTGTAGTGAAGATTTCACTCTGACCAATCAACTAATAATATGACATTAATCACACCTTAAGGGTGAGGATGTGGGAACATTTCTGGGTATTCAAACCTCTGAAATGAAATGACATGAAACATGGAAGGCCTCTGATAAACAGTAATACTGACACATTAGATAAGTACGGTCTCAGTATGTACATGCATTGGGGGGGGAAAGCATGATCACATTATAGCCCCTATTGCACATTCAGTTGAACATCAAGTTATGACACTGAAATCCAGTCCTTCCCCCCTGATCTGCTCTGGTCTAAGACCACACTGGACCAAAAACACCAGGGGGGGTTTCTTTTGTGTGTGTGTTTCTTTGAGCTCAAGTAACAACCACTCCTGCTAGGAAAGAGTTCAAATATTAACTATGCAGGTCTAAATTCCAGCAGATACAACTGTGACGTGAAAGCAGCAGAGATTGTGTCAGTTTCACAGATAAACAACTTGAAATAAAACAGTGGACTCTCATCAAAACCATCAGAAATCAGAAAAACACATTGTTACTTTTATTTATTTTTTTGAAAGGGGGGTGGGATTTTTGGGGGGCTTCAAAAACGTCTTAACTAAAGCTCATAAAAAAGGTATTCAGATTTTATTTTTTTGGCTCAAACGATTTAATAACTAATAAATTTAGTTGGAAGAGAGGTACTGTGAAACAAAATGAGCAAATCTACCTCCATTTTTCTGATTTATGATGCTTTCTTTTACCCGCATTTCTGCTTCTCCCCAACCTCTAAACAACAAAAAAGGTCGAGGGAAAGACACACGAGACGACGGAAAACCCAAAGCTTCAGACCATTTCTCTCTAGCGTGAGATTTTAAAGGTGTGTGGAAGAACAAAATCACATTGTAGAGCGCTTCTGTCAACTTTCGGACCCCAACCTACGAGTAAGGTATAAAATAATGGAATTTTGTTTAAATAAATACATTCCTTAGCAAGGTTAAAATAAAATAACATAAAATAGAATAAAATGAAATAACTGGGATAAAACACATGACATCTTGAATAAGCTGGACAAACAGCTAATAAAAATTTCCTCCCAGAAAATAATTTCTTTCACAGATTTTCATTTTTTTGGTCTTGCTTTTTTTGTTTTTGTTTTTTTGCAAAAATGAAAATATAGTTGTTGGTTTTTTTCTCCCCACATTCTTTGCAAGTATCCATAAAAAAAAATTATAGTACCAATGAGTCATCTTTGAAATATATCTACAGCTGTACAATAGCTCTTGCAACAGTTTGACAATAAATCTTGCAAGTAAATTTACGAAGAAAAAAAAAAATTAATACATAAAAAAGCTTTTTTACAGATATGAGTTAAAAAGGGTAATAACAAACAATATAAAAAGAAGATAGAAAGACAGCAGCTGCTAATGAGATTCTTGGAGATTTGTCTTCTCTTCGATGGCCTGTTTCACTATTTCAGCCAACTTCAAGCGGTCGACTTTATCGGAGAAGGCTCGTCCTGCAATGAAAAGCTGCTGGTTAAGGATCTGGTAACTGGTAACAATAAAATTACACTCCTAAATGAGAGCCATGCTTAGTCTTTTTCCCCTAATCTTATAATAACAGAGACAATTAATCTGGTTTCTGTAGATTTTTGTCAATCTGAATAATTAGGGGTGCAGCGATATTGTTTAAACAGTCTTTTCTGATCTTTGCACTAAGCTATTCATTCACCACACATAAGCTCACACCTGAAAAGTGAATGAAAGAAAAAAAACAAAAAAAACATGGATGACTTTAGAGAGAGCAAGCAACACTGACCGTCCCAACTGAGCCCCTGCAGGCCATCCCTCAGCAGCTTACAGTCTCTGTTGAACCTCCAGGCTTCATACATCACCTCATTCAGCTTCTCATCCTCGTTCTCTCCTGTGCAAAAAAAAAAAAAAATTACTTCAGAAGTTTTTTTTTTCTCTCTGAGAGATGTGCAACATTGTTTAACAGAAAAAAAATCACAAGCAGACTCCATATAGACTTTAATGTACACTATCCATGGCCACTTTGTTAGGTACACCTATTCAACTCCTCCATAATGCAAATATCTAATCAGCCAATCACATGGAAGCAAAAAAATTAGTCACAGGGAAGGAAAGTGATTTCGCACACTAACATCTCTGCCGTTTACAGAGACCAAAAAATGCCTTGTTGATGCTAGGCGGACAGCTTTGAGCTGACAGGAAGGCAACAGTAACTCAAATAACCACTCGTTACAACCAAGGTATGCAGAAGAGCATCTCTGAATACACAACATGTCAAACGTTGAAGCAGTTTCGCTACATCAGCAGAAAACCAAACCTGGAGCCAATCACATCAGCTGAGAACAGAAAACAGAGGCTGTAAGTCACACAGGCTCAACAAAATTGAACAATGTAAAGGTGTGGGGGATATTTTATTGGCACACTTTAGCTCCCTTAATACCAAGTGAGCATCAGTTTAACACAGCCTACTGCAGTGTTACTGCTCATGATATCCATGACTTTATGGCTACAGTGTACCCATCTTCCAATGGCTACTTCCAGCAGCTTAACGCACCATGTCACAAAGCCCAAACTGATTTCTTTATACTCAGAGGACCTGCACAGTCTCCAGATCTCAGTCCAATAAAGCACCTTTGAGGTGGAACAAGAGATTGCTGCCTGCACATCCATCATGCCAAATCTGCAGCAACTCTTTGATGCCATCATGTCAAAATGTACCAAAATCTCTGAGAAATGTTTCCAGCACCTTGCTGAAGAATTAATGAAGAATTAAGGCAGTTCTGGAGGAAAAAACAAGGTCCAACAAAATACTAGAAAGGTGTACCTAATAAAGTGGTCAGTGAGTGTCTATAACATACAGCCTGATTAGAATTCCAGCAATTATTAGTCATAAATGTTCAAACATCAGTGAGTTTCTCTGCATTTTCAAGTTACGTTACAACCAATTAAAGGTTTGGGGAAAAAAAAAAAAAGCTTAGCTGATCATCTGTTCCTCTGTACTTTGGCAGTTCTTATGTTTACTTTTCATCACAGACTGCCAAAATGCTTCTTAGTTGAATAGAAGTCAAAAGCAGACGCCAAACTCAACAAGCCAGCACAACTTCTCATACTTCTTCATTAAAATGCTAGTTGTATACCGGCGTGGGTTTACTGACCAGCTTGTGGTAGTATACACTGTGCAATGACATCTCGTAATTTTTCCAGTGCTACGTTGGAGTCTTCCCCTCCGTTTTCTGGGTCGTGAATGAAGAAACTGTCACTGGGCTTTGGGCTGCAACATGGACAGAAAAACATATTTCAGAGCAGATCCCTTTTTTTTTTTAATACAAGGACTTCCAAATAAAAAAAACTTTGGAGACACACACACACACAAAAACAACAACAAAAGAGCAACTATACCCTAGAAGTTTCCGCTTCCTGAGGATTGGGTTGTTGACAGAGTTTAGGGGCTTCAGGCTGACATTCAGATCCTGAATTCTCATGTTGGCCAGCTGCTCTGCATGGGCCTGCTGAATCCCTGCAACTACCGCCTGGGAAGCAGAAAGAGGACAGTCAAAGCTGGTATCTATATTTCTGCCTAAGGAGGGCTATACGTAGACTCCAACCATATGCCCTAAAAATGATCCGTGCTCTCCTCGAAAAACAAACTAAACATGGTGTTGACAGAAGGCAGAAACTGAAACTGATCCCCTGTTTCACCAACAAACTTAGAACAAAGAGATAACTCTTCAGGCTTCTCCCCAGAGTGTCTATACATCAGAAGCTCCCTATTCACTAACAAGAGTTACATAAATATCATTAAATATTACTGTGAAGCAGCTCCGGTGCTATTGAGTTGTGTGTGTAAAAGAAGAAACACGAGACCTAATTGAAAATAAGTAAGTATCATTGAAGAGGTTTCTATCAGCTAACAATCAAAACCTGCAGCACGACTCCTGTTAATCTGAAATGACTATAAATCCAACATCAGGAAAGGTAGAAACTAAGTCTGTTATATTATAATAATTAAGAATACTCATTTAGCACAGTTTCCTCTGCCAGTCAGATCACTGACGCAATGCACTCACCTTATCCATCATCATCTGTGCCGAGGGCAGCACGTTGTCAAGAGCCTCGGTGCAGTTAAGCCAAGGATGAGCCAAGACTCCCTCGATTGTTAGCCTCTCCTCTGGCTTCACCTTCAGCAGCCTGCAGGGAGGAAACAAAGAGGCAACAGAAAATACATGTGGGTCAGAAAAAGAGTGAATGAGTGAGACTAACAGAAGGATGGGACAAATAAACACAAAGAAGACAGAGGAGAAAAGGAAGGCAATATGGGGTAAACAAGATGACAGGAGAGTTACTAAGTCTGCTGAGGGGTGTACTACAAAATATGCTGGACAAAGTCAGGTATTCTTTGCATCAACTGGATTGACAAACCTAAACCATAAATCAGAGATAATGG